CTCGGAAGAAGCCTCCGTTAAGCGCAGTGAACAAGCAGAAAAGATTGGAGTTCGCCCAATTACATTTAGATTGGAGCGATGAACTATGGAGTCGCATATTATGGACTTATGAAACCTGCGTATCGGGTGATTGTCATATGAAACCTCGTGTCACAAGAAAAGTACGTTTAAACTCTATCTAAATCTTCCTTGTACCAACAGCAGAGTTTAGCCTGATGATGAGTTTGATGAGATTTGTACTGTGGCTCGCCATACTCATGGGAACAGCTGGATGTTTTGGGGATCATTTTACGGATCACAAGAAGGCCTATTCCTAGTCTGGGAGAAGGATTGGGGATCATTGGGGTCCTCATCCTTTTGTGAAAGGATTTTGCCACTTTTGAATCAATTTCACTCGGAAAATCCAGAAATTCTGTACATGCACGTCAACGTACCATGTCATAATGCGTATTCAACAATTGGGGCGCTGCGTGAAGTTGAAATAACGCCTATTAGATGGCCACCTTACCCGCCGGACCTGAACCCGATCGAGTCATCGTGGAACATCTTAAAAAATTACATTCAGGTAAATAGACCAGAGATAAATGGGGTCAGGCTCGCTCGCTCTGCCACGTTAAGAACATTACTACAGGCCGCATGAGACTCTATACCTTCTGAGGAGCTATTTTCACTAGTTGGTAGCATGCACGAAAGATGTGTAGCAGAGATAAAGGCAAATGGAGGGTACACAAAGTATTAGGATGGAGAAGATACACAAAACATGTAGTACGCTTTCATTTTAGTTGCGAGCCATACCGAGGGCTTCGATGTAGACTTTGTAATACAGAGCAATAATTTTTGAAATAGATGTGTATTTTTAGAGAATATCAATTGATTTTTTTAGATTTTGATTTTAAGTGAGGACCATTGTACTTTTATGTCAGGGTTCAAAACCACCCCCATAATTTAGACATTCCCGGAGTACAGTCAGACCCCTGTTAAGACGTTATTGCCTTTTATTCGATATATTTTCTGGAACGGACCTCGCTCCCATACTTTTACCGTTTAAACGATTATCGTTCTTCAACCTCTGAATATCGTCTTAACCAGGGTTTTATGTTAGTTGATGCTAATAATGCCGCCAAAAAAGGGAATTTCTGTAGAGCAACGACGAGCTCTGCGACGATGGGCGCACCGCCAGGTCCCAAAACCAACACAAAAACAGTGCATTGAGTGGTTCTTCGCTGAGTACGGTCATCTATTAAGCCAGTCCACAGTCTCCGAGTCCTTAAACAAGACCTTAGCGAAACTCCAAGAAGGTACAAGTACTACTGCGCTACGACTGCGAGCTAGAAACTGGCCTGACCTTGAAATTATTAGAGCGATTAAAGACGGCAATTGGGAGTATAAAAGAGGCATCAAAAGTACAAAGTAGCCTAGATAGCTGCATTAGGTAATCATATCCTTTTAAACGATATCCTCTACATGACGATATTTTTCACGGCCCCGATTACATCCTCTTAAAAGAGGTCTGAGTGTGGAGGGCAAAACTGAACACCTGTACGCGGTGTCCACTACGAACCTGGGAGTAAAATATACTCCCAGAGCCAAGTTCAGTCAAATTTCGCAATATCGAACAACTTGGCCCACGAGGCAATGATTCAAACTACTCCACCACGTCAAATCTTCACTCCCAAAGGGTCCAATTCCTACCTAAGCCTCATCAAGTCTACAAGTACGACATAGTACATCCTCATCCCAATGACCATACCTCTCGTCGACTTTCTCTGGCCTCAGTTGACCACCAAATACGCGCCCATGCCGATATTTACACCCGACGGAGAAAGAAAGGCGTGGTGCACAAATCTGGGAGACTTTTTTTTGGGATGGACGTGAGAGGGATCAGGACAAGTTGACAAGATAATGCAGAGGATGGATACATTCTTGACAGGCGTGAAATTTCGAATTTTGCCAAGGAGTTTTTACAAATTGAGCTTTGTGCGTGCCAAGTCTTCGTTTGCGAGAGTGCAGGCGACACTATAAACATCGCCATGGTTGGATGGTGCGGTGGTCCGCCTCTTGGTGGTGTTCTCTGGTGTAGTCTGAGTAGCATAGGTACCTACTCCACTTGGGAAGGACAGACCTAAGACCACATTTCTCCGCGCGAAATGTGAACGAATGATGGAGGCATGTCTGGATAACGCAGGGTTTTTGAGACGTTTCACTGTGTGGGTAGTCACGGATAAGGGTTAACTTGGGGTGAAGAAAAAGCTACCATAACTTCGCAGTGGTACCTGCAAATGAAATCCGAGGCATAAGTACTCTTCTTGTAAATTGAGTCATCTATTCTATACTTTTCTTTGATACTGTGTCACAGCTAGATAGCTGCATACGCAATCAAAATCTGATGCAAAAAAACTGCGCTCCCGTGTTCCATCATGTGAGATGTAATAACTGCTTACCACAAATTCCGCATACTGAACAGCGTTAGATCACAACGCTTCTCCAGATTTCTCCCCTGCCATTCCCACAAATATGCCTCGTAGATTTATGAAAGACTATTTTTGTTTTCCGTCGGCTATTCATATTCTCTTGGGTGTGTGCGTAGAGGCCGTATGAGGCCAGAGATTAATATGGAGAGAGGTGTAGTTATTGACATGAGGATGTATTAAGTAGTACTTGTAGACTTGATGAGGCTTCGGCAGGAATTGATCTCGTTGGGAGTGAAAACTCGACATGGTGGGTATTTTAAATCATTGCCTCGTGGGCCAACTTCAGTACTGCGAAATTTGACTAAGCTTGGCTCTGATAGAATATTTCAACACTAGAATAGTAAAGCATAACTCGTACAAGCGAACAGCCTTTTTCCTCCGGCTCACCGCATATGTTAGTTAATTTGTCGGTGTCTAGGCAGATAAGCCTCTTCCCGCCAATCGTCGATGATTCATGAGAGAACGGGCATATGCCGGAGTCCTTGATCCTTGTCGTTCGTCCAGACTAGGCCGTTCTTTGTGGGCGGAACGGGTAAAGATGCCTGTCTCTTCATTTCTTCGGGTTCCAACTACATTGATGTCTTTGCCTTGTACCATTACGCACGAAAGCTGCTTAAATCTTCAAAGCTTATTGTGAATGATCACGTCACTACCACGCTGACCTCCTGATGGCTATCTAGGAGCACATAGATTTGCTGCAACCACCCCCCCTACTAGGCTGTTCGTTTCCGATGAAATACAGTGCGGTTTAAAGAGCCATATTTGTACCTACTGTGTTTGCAATTAGAACCTTTCCTCGGTACTTGATGTTATTTCCTTTGACGATGAGTTTTCCTTCTTACCTCAATACAAAAACCCAGTCAGACCGTCCGTGTCCTTCCGATGAACCATCCGAGTAAGCGCAAATGTCCGTTCCTGGCATGTTGTCGATCCAACGCAGTCTTTGCGTTGAATCGGCTTTGGGCTTGACTTCGTAGGGTAACCCACCGTCGCCAGGGTCCCCGGGGATCCTGCTTCTGAGAGCTCTTGTTATGCACGCAGCACCCGTAACATCTAGATCTTTCGTTTGGAGCAGGATTTTGCGATATCTTTGTTTTTTCGAGTGCCCACATTCGCACACAACAGCGCCGATCCTCATGGGGTGTCGAACGTCAAGGGTCTTGAACTTGACCAATATTCTGAGTCGGTTACCCTCCAATATGACCTTTGCAGGCAAAACCTAGCCAAACTTCTTGCAGAGCCGGCGTACATGGAAGACAGAGGCATGTTTGAATGACAAGTTTTGAAATTTCTCTTCAATGAGCACTCGCAGAGAACGGTCGACTTTTCCGCGCAAGCAAAGAAACTTGCAGTATTATTTGCGAATGAAATCTAGATTACGGGTGTCTCTAACTTCAAAAGCGTTATCCAACAACAGCTCTGATCGTGTGTCATAGCTAGATATCTGAGTACACAATAAATGATACATAAAAAGTCTTTTACAGGCAGAATCTATCCTCTTGGATGGACCAAATTTGGCGTTGTCCTTATCTCTGAGAGTATAGCTCGCAGTTTAATCAAGCAAGCATAGTCAATCATGCTTCAAAGATTGTGGTGGATGATGGATCCATCCCTCGTTGAGTTGGGCATTTGGACCCTGGCTACCAGACGTCAGATCCGAAAGTTGCGAGGCCAGACAGTGCACAAGTCTACTGCACTCACCAACGACCCAGGTGCTGCTCCTCGAAAGATAAACTTGAAGCAGCGCATATGCTGAGCAAATTTTACTGCATTACCGCACTGCGTAGTTTCCTGGTGTTTTTAATCTAGCCACGGACTCAGACTTATGCCTAACCAGCGAATGTGGTCAGCAGGGTCAATAAGATTTCCATTTACATGAACACCATCTTCTTCTTGGTGACATCTGGGAATTAGAAAACTTCAGACTTGTCCTAGTCAATAGCAACAACAATGTTTCTCGCCCTTTCAAAAAGATAATCTATCTCTATTTCTGCAGCGGCAGCAGACTCAGCAATTGTGCGGTCAACCCCTAAAACGCCATATCGTCAGCATATCTAAACTTCAATCCCGGAATGTCATTTTGCATCAGCTCCACCATATAAAGAAGGAATAGTATTGGCGAGAATGGTGATCCTTGAGGGACTCCGCAGACAAGCTCCCTCTAAGTGGTGACACCGCTAGAAAATCGCACTTGAACCTTCCAATGTGCGAGGGTCGAGTCTTTTTAATTATATTGTTGTCCTTTCTCAGTCTAAGACTATATGGCACATGCAGATCTTCTTTGCCTATAGGCCAAGGATTCCTATGCCAGTAAGATATTCCCTCCTATACCTTTTATACAGCTCCCTTCAGGCAGTAAGTAGGGGTGTAGTGATGATAGCGGGAAATGGGGCACATGTTCAATAGTGTGATAGAAATGCGGGGCAAGTTAACGGAGCTTAAGACTTAGTTTGTGGTTGTGTGAGGTTATATTAGGCTGGCAATTGTCAGTTTACTTTCTGTTTCTAATTAATTTTATCGATTGTAACAATGTCAACATCTATAGTTGAAAGTCTGCACAATATACCCGCAAAAAATCATCAGTTGCCCATGACCCTTAAACAACCATCTCTCCAGCCTGGCTTCCGCCTAGAGGTAGCGAGTCCAGATGACATGCCAGAGATCTGGCAGGTATATGCGGCAGCTTTTGAGGAAGATGAGGTGTGGCCCGGTCTCTTTCGGGATGTAGTTAATCCAGCAGAAATTTATCCTTGGATTTGTACCAATTTCGCTCCTCGACTAAACTTTCCCGATATAATCACTTATAAGATTACGGAAGATGCATCTGGGTGCGTCAATACCTCTCTTCCTTGTCGCTTTGTTGATCGATTAAACGCGGGACAAAAGAACTAATTTCAATCAGAGCCATTGCAGGTTGGACAGCTTTACAGATTCCATGGAAATATTTGCATCCGTCGGTAATGACAGATGAGCTAAAGGCTCAAGTCACAAAGAAAGAATTGCCTCCGCCTTTACCGGGCATGGATGTGGAATCGCTCGCCGATGCGTATAGAACGATGGGGGGATCAAAACTATATGGCTACGATCCAGAAAATGATTACCGTAAGAACCAAAAGATACATGCGCAGATAATACGAGTATGAGGATCCTATCTAACGAAGAATATAGACCGTAGAGGGACTATGATCCGTCCTGACATGCAGAGAAAAGGATTTGGCTCCTTCCTCACTCAGTACTGTAATCAAATTGTCGATCACACGGGTGATAGGTTGTGGACGCGATCTCGTCCATCATCGCAGAAAATGTTCCGGCAGAATGAGTTCGTCGAAGTTGGCCGCTTGGATAGTCATCATGAACGATGGGGTGGCACACGCGAAAAATCTATAACTTATATACTTCTTCATTCTCCACCATGTGTTTCGATGGGAAAGGATCCTATGATATAATTAATAATTGGACTTCTTATATACCTAATTTTTGTATGCAATCGTCTACCTCGCTTGACAAGAATCGCAAAGCTTTGATAAAAATTTGCCATCCATTCCTCAGATCCTATCAAAGGCTGTTGGGAATTGATTGTGGGAGACAATTATTGGATTCGACAGAATGTCTGAGAAGTCTACTAAATAGGCTCCATTTTTGCGATGCAGCTTATTCCTATTTGAGATTACCTTGTTGCACGAGTAGCAGGCTCCGCCTGTTCTTGGAGTCCAATACGGGCCAAGTAGAGCTGGCCCACATATCCTATCTGGTGTAGTACAATAAGTCTCGTCCAGCCGAAGAAGCGACACTACGTCAGGCCAAATCTTTCATGGATCATAGTAGGCCTCGATGTCTAGAAAAGTCTAATAGAATGTCTCCGAGAACCTTTACAATCTCTCTCTCTCTCTCTTTTTATTCCCTTTCTACAGAGTTCTGTTTAGTCTGCCCTGCGCTCGAACCTTAATTTCGCATTTTCGCCGAATATCATGTTAATTTCTCCCATCAGATCTCATCCGCGCTCTCCCCTTCGCGTTAGAAACATTAGACCGGGCTCCCTCCCACGTAAAACTCATGATCCTAGACATATGTTTAAATTGGTTGCTAGTTACTTGATTTGTGCACGCTCTCTTGAACTGGCACTTGCCATTTTGTCTCCGCAAATCTGTTGTTGGGGTCCAATTTTTTGTCAAAGTACTATCTAGGCTGGTCTCCTGGCTAGAACCTGGCAAGACTAGGCATTGATCTGACAAGAGACGGGAGATCAGCTGCCAGAATCCTGCGCGGCTCAGATGTTATCGCGCGGATCTGATACAACGGATAATATAGGAGTGCCAGGTCAGTCAAAAGTTGCAAGGCATCTTTCACAAAGCGGGTATTTTAGACGGGGTATAAAGGTTACCGTGGATGCCTCAAAAGCTCTGTTATGCAATGCATTGACAAGAAGTCAAATATAGTCGAGATACATATACAATACTTCGGAACCTATTTTTGGTATTGTCATGGAACAGAACGTTTATATTAATCACGTGATATATTAACTAACACGTCCCTCTTAATGTATAAAACTTGTCAGAGTCTCGCCTGTCTGGGGCGACGCGCTTTAGGATATCCACTAGCTGCACGGTCTGGTCACGGCGACTTCGCAGACTACCACCGACGGTTTCAGCATGAAAACGCCATTCTAACCTGCAAATGCGAAGAAGAGAAGTCCCCCAATCACTTTTTCTATCGCCACCTCGGGCAATACCTAGCTCAGCTTCACAGGGCACAGAACTCTAATCCCAGCGTATCCTGGGCACTTGCTTCGGCGGAGGGAGTTAATGCATTCAATAACTGGGTGCGTGTCACAACTTTCTTCGAAGTGGTACAATGAAAAGTCCTATTCGAACGAAACCACGATATGATGTAAAAAATTTTCTCCTTTTATTTTTATTTTTTTATAAAATATTTTGTTAATTTAGTACTAACTGTATAGCACGAGATTCAATGGACGGACTACCTTCATGTATACTATAATCTTCGAGCGCAGGATGATAAGATCCTGGCTATCATTTGCTTTGTTGGGTCTGTGTAGATGCCAATGAATGAATGAGAGTTTATTCGTGACGGGCACAAGCCCTGCACTCAAAGAGCATGACACGGAGAAGACTAGCTTCTCCGACGAATATATGCGACGATATCTCAGTTTATAATTTGGACTACTCATATAGGGGGTGCATTCACTGATACCACTCGAGAACTTGGTGCTAGGGACCTTCACCCCTCTCTCAAACGTTAATATCCACCAAAGGAAAAACAGAAAAACCTTGGCTACCCTAACATGCTTTTTCCATCTTTTATATAGCCACCGCGCGAGATATGGCCTCACAGTCCTCCCTTTCTCGAGTGGGGTAGGTGTCCAGGCTACCCAGACTTTGATTCGGGGAGATGACGACCAAGAGGCGGACCAAAAAACGTTCCATCGTTGCCTGTTTTTAGAGTGTCGGTAGCACTACCCTAAATCGTTGCCTCGGCGCCCACAGACACCCTTAAGTCGTAAATATTCAAAAAATGTGCGTCTCAACATGCCCATTTGTGACCTCTTCACTCGTTCTTCCCCCGTTCCGCCTGCCTGTCCTTCCTCAAGATGTGAAGCCCCATTAGAGCAGCGGTCCCCCATATACTAAGACCCGAGCTTTATAGATTATGACTTAATTTCCTCCCCGCAGGTATGAACAGCATCGTAATTTTGTTGTTGGAGATGGCCAGTTCTTGATGAGGCAAATGCCCGATTGCAATTGGAGTAACGCCATTATCGGTATTTGAGGCGAGGTGGAATACTCGCGTGAGAATGATAGGTCCGACTTTCACGAGAAGTCGTCGATTTTAGGTGTGCTTGTGAGTGCTTTAGACTTCGATTTGGATGCGATTCTTCTTGGCTATCCCAGATATGCAGAGCATACTGAGTGATTACACCGGCACCACTGGGAGGTGAAGAATTTGTCTTTGCCGGCTGTGTTGGTGCCAACACGTCGGGTAGTTTAATTTAGACTGGGCTCACTAGTACGTGAGGAGCTCACGTGCCGTGCGCGGGTATAACGTTAAGTATTATAAATAAATAAATAAATAAATAAATAAATAAATAAATAAATAAATAAATAAATAAATAAATAAATAAATAAATAAATAAATAAATAAATAAATAAATAAATAAATAAATAAATAAATAAATAAATAAATAAATAAATAAATAAATAAATAAATAAATAAATAAATAAATAAATAAATAAATAAATAAATAAATAAATAAATAAATAAATAAATAAATAAATAAATAAATAAATAAATAAATAAATAAATAAATAAATAAATAAATAAATAAATAAATAAATAAATAAATAAATAAATAATAAATAAATAAATAAATAAATAAATAAATAAATAAATAAATAAATAAATAAATAAATAAATAAATAAATAAATAAATAAATAAATAAATAAATAAATAAATAAATAAATAAATAAATAAATAAATAAATAAATAAATAAATAAATAAATAAATAAATAAATAAATAAATAAATAAATAAATAAATAAATAAATAATAATAAATAAATAAATAAATAAATAAATAAATAAATAAATTTGTCAGATTCCAGTTATAGTTCCTTTTCTCCTTTGTAGACAGTCTTACTCACCTACTCTGACATTGTCAATCTAGCATTTATATCATATCGTGAAATATTGTCTACCAAACATATAACTGCCCTCGCGCGTAAAAAATACTTCACTTTTTTTTTAATCTGTGCAATTATAAAACCTCCACTCACTTTCGCATATAAAAATGGAAAATAACCCTTGGAATCCAGAAGGCACCGGAATTCCACAACACCAACCAAGTGCGTCGCTAGTAGAAAGGTTCTGTGAATGTGATGCCGCCTTTTTGCAAAAATTCACACTCCTTTGCTCTTTCCCAAACCAACAACTTTTTATCCAAGCTATGCAGAGCGGCATACAGGGCAACAATGCAGTACAGCTTAGTGAAGAGATTATGACGTTAGCAACTGCGTACGTACAATTAGAGGGTGAGCTCCTTCATTACAAAAATGACTATGATACACTTCTCGAGAAAAACAAGGAACTCTCAGATGCCAATTCAAAACTTAACAAACAGAAGAAGACCGCAAGTTCAAGTATCTCGCAGTTACAGTTGCAAAATTCGAATCTACAACAGCAAATTGCTAGCCTACAACAGCAAGCAAATAGCCTCCATCAACAAAACAAATCTCTTCTCCAGCTAAACCAGAACCTTGAACAACCATTAGTAACCTCTGGTTAGAATAACCCCACCCCACAACAATTAGCCGAACACCCTGATCTGGACATATTCTCCGCTGATGACTGCGTCACGCAAAGAACAACCACTCTTTAATAGAAAATTAAACATGAAATTTATTGCTAACAGAGATTGGTATCTTAATGAACAGTCCAAGATGTTGTATAAAGTCCCCCGTCTAAAGGGCAAGGTTTACTCAACAATCTTACATGGCATCAACAGAGATTGCACAATTAAGTTCACACCAAGTGAAGCACTTCTGGTTCTCCTCGAACAAGCCTTTGTAGATGTTAACAAATGTAATGCTGACCGACGAGAAATTCTCACAATCAAACAGGGCCAAAAGGGTACATTGACACACATTTCTGACTAGTTCGATGTAGCACAGAAAACCGGACTCTCCGACAACGCTTTGATCAGTCACCTTTACAACTTGCTACATCTAGCAATAGTATCTGTCGGAATATTTCCTATGGATTCTTTGTTTGAGGTAACTCAATAACAATTGTTTCATTGATTTGTATCTATCTTCATTTGTGATAGAGCGCTGGGGCTTTAATGACCTTGAACACTCGTCACATGATATATGCTTACACAGCTATTACTAATTATTACCCATTTGTTATTATATCTTCATAATCATTATTACTGCCCAAACTCCATCATCCTTGCTTAATGCACATCCAAATAAAACTTGTATCCTACTATTTGACAGTATCTCATATTCAGAATCATGTAATGCTACGCCAATCTCTTCCTACAGACTTAAAGTTTTATCTTGTTGAAGTCCGACTTATTGACGCGGTACTTTGGTCCTCCAATCCTAGCTATACTAAGTCCAAACATTCTACCAATAGTCACCATTCTATAGTCCTCCTATCCCTAACTTTTTGACTCTCGCCACCCCCTCACTTAATACACCCCCAGCCGGAGCCAATGGACCTGAGCGCCTCAAACCTCAACCGTAACATCACTTGGAAATTAGCAGATGCTACTAATCATCGAATCCCACGAAACGAGGCAGAGAGATGTGCTAAACGTGCATATTGCTTTGAGAATAAGCTATGTAGCTGCTGCAAGGATCCGGGACATCGAGCGTGAAATTGCGCTGAAGCACGATGGAACAAAGATAAGCCCAGGTCTGCAGAC